TCTCTGCATGACTGTCCCCCCGTGCCCTGGTTGTCACTGCATCCTCCTCTCTCACACAATCCTCCAACAAAACTGCTGTGCTTTCCCCTGGCTCCTCGCTGCCTTGCTCCAGCATCATAACACAGCTCCTCCAGGCCAACCAGTGCCTCTGCTTCCGCCCAGCCCCTGACCTCCGCACCCAGCCCGTGTGCTGCTGCTTGGGGTGTGCTAGGGCACATTTGGGATGTGGGGTGTCCTCCTTCCACTTTAGGGTTCTCATCTCCTTCCCATCCCTCACTCCTCTGCCAACCAGGGCTTTGGGAGCAGCCCTGTCCCCTTTCCTCCCTAATGCGTCCTTGCTGTCCCCTTCCCTAGGCTGCCGCTGGTTCAAATCCCATCCTTCGAGTATCTGGTCCTTACCCCCCCCCTGTCCCTTGGTACCGGTGCAGCCAGGAACGGTGAGCACAGCCACGGAGCCTGCATCCTGCAGGCAAGGATCCTGCTTGCTGGCCCCTCTGGTGATGGTGCACAGCACCCTGCTCACACCTGAGCACACCTGCAATGTATCTGCTCACTTCTCCAGGGTCAGGGCTTATGGGATTGGGGATGCTGTGCCTGGCACACTGGCCCTTCTCCAGCCGGCAGCCTCCATGCTTCATGTTCTTGGACATGGCTCCAGAAACCCAGTGTCCATGTGCATCTTCTTTCTCCAAAATTCCCTTCCAGGCACAGCCGTGGCCAGCGCGTGCCCTGCACCGCACTGCACCATCACAGGGAGCCGGGCTGCCTCGCTGCGGGAGGTGGGTGCTGCTGTGCCAGGCTGGGGATCCTCTGCCCTCCTGCTCCACCAGCACCCCAGTTGCTACCTGTGTCCCTGCACCCACCAGCCCCTTTCCCAGCCCTCCCAAGGATTCCCATGAGTATGAGGGACACAAGGGGATGTGCAAAGGCAATGGAGGGTGGTGGTGCACGTGGGTGCATGTGTTGCCCAGGCTTGAGGTGAGCAGAGCACGGTTGGAGCATGGGGAACAAGTGATGTTACTGGGGTAGTGGGAGTGTGGCCAAGGGAAGGTGTCGGGCTGTTCTCCATGTATCCTGACCCACAGGTCCCATCCTTTCCTCCCGCAGGTCTCTGGAGCTGTGCTGGTCTCCGGGATGGTTCAGCTGGCACTGGCAGTGTCTGGCGTGTGCGGGTGGGCAGCCCGGCACTGTGGGCCCATGGTCCTGGCCCCCAGCCTCTCCATCATCGGGCTGTCTGCATACAAGGAAGCTGCTTTCTTCTGCTCCACTAACTGGGGGGTAGCACTGCTGTACGTGAGCCCGGGGGTCATGCTGGTGTGCAGCCCCCTGGGCTTCCCTTTGCCATGGGCACGGGAACAGAGCATTCCTGTGGTGCATGGCGTGCATTTGGGACCCCATCTCTGTGATGCTCTGTGATGACCTGTGCTCCCTCTCCTAGGCTCATGCTCCTCACTGTCACCTTCTCCCAGCACCTGGGGTCCTGCCGCTTGCCCTTCTGTGCCCGGCCCCAGGCTCTGGGCAGCTCTACAGAGCCGTCCGTCCCCACCCTGCGCACATTCTCGGTACTGTGGCTTGTCTGTCTCTGCTCCCCCTGCTGCACCCAGGCTTTTCTCTGAGCCTGGCTCTTTGGTGTGGGGCTAGGTGGGACCTGGTAGCCCTGGAGCAGAGCTGGGTGCTAGAAGCAAAGGCAGGGGTGAGAAGTCCTGGGGGAGCTGCCAGGGTATGGGTGCTGCTGGGGGAGTGCAGGGGATCTGCACTCAAGGGTGCTGGAGCAGCATACCCTGGGATGCTCCCTGAAGTGGTAAGGGGAGATGTGGCAGGGGGCAAAACCCTGGGAGAGATGATTGTTGTTTGGGGCATAGCAGACAGGGAGCTGGCCAGGTGAGGAAGGTCCTCTGCTGAGGTTTCCCTTACTGCCTTGCAGGTACTGCTCCCATTTGCTGGTGTTTGCATCTTCTGTGCCATCCTCAGCCACCTCCATGTCCCCTGGGAATCGGTGGACC